GATCCCAGGACCCTGGGACCATGACCTGAGCCGAAGACAGGCGCTTAATGACTGAGCCCCCCAGGTGCCCCCCAGGTTTACTTTAAAATACCCCAAACATGGTGATTCCACACACGTTCTTCAATCACTGACTAGGTCCGCTAAAAATTAAGAACTGAAGTGATTTCCCTTTTAGGAAAGGGGTAGGCAGACCAACAAGGAGGAGATAGGGTGCTTGGTGACTTGAAAGGGATACTTGGGGTTTGGGGTTACAGGTAAGGCAAAGGGGGTGGCTCTAGGAGCAGACAGGTAGTGAAACGTTTACTTCCAAGTAAGAGTCTTTGACACTTCAAAGTGAGATTTTAGTTAACTAGCAACGAGTCAAATAAAATCCCCCTCCCTCCCCCCGAGATGGATAACATTCCTCTTAAAGGAACATTGGTGTCTGGGTGGAAGCTTGTTGCAATATTGAAATCCCCTCTCATGATACCAATCACAATGTAGTATTTTGCCATGGAATTTATTTTTCTTTAGGAATAAGTCTTTATACTGTAAAGTAAAAAAAAATAACATCATGGAAGGGGGAGCTATATAAAAACAAAGTTTTACTGGTTTGCTAAACAAGGGCACTGGAGAGGGAAAACATTGCCATGCCTGTGGGGTCGATTTTATTGCAAGTGCCTGAATCAAAGTTATTATTAATAAAATCTTGACTTTTTTCTCAGAGAGTGGGTAAACAAAATAATCGGTGGAGGTATTTTTGGTAGCCGGCAGTTGTTGGCTTTTGATTTGTGGTTTGTAGGAATCCTAAAATGATAGGTTGCTAATTGGTTCAGATTGAAAACTCAGATAATTGGATGGATTGTGAACACAGAAATGGTAATAATATCTAATGTTTACATAGCATGGGGTATGGTTATTTTGTTTACTGTGCAAACACAACAATTACCGCTTGAGTGGACAGAAGATTAAAGCACTCGTCAACTTATGTACCCATGATTAGGGCATATTTTATTAAATATATAAAATGTTAAATACACAATCATCTTTGTCCATGAAATGCCAGTAATGTACATTTTGAAAAAGGACAACTAAACTTTTATTAAATGTACTTAACACTGAAACTCATACCCTAAGGACAGCATATTTATGGATGATTTCCTTGTAAATAATTAGGAAAATCTAAAATATTTACCATGAATGAGTAGTACTTTAGTAATAACAAAAATAAAAAGTAGAGGTGCCTGGCTGCCTCAGTTGGTGGAGCCTGCGACTCTTGATCCTTGGGATTGTGAGTTTGAGCCCCACACTGGGTGTAGAGATTACTTAAAAATCTTAAAAAAAATAAATGTGGCAAGTTTATGCCATCTTAAGGCTTTTCTGATACACAAACTTACAAAAGAGAAAAAAATCATACAGGGATCTCTCTCTTTTTTTAAAGATTTATTTAGAGAGTGAGTATGGGGGGCAGGGAGAGAGAGAGAGGGAGAGAGAGAATCTCAGACTCCCTGCTAAGCATGGATGCTTAACTGACTGAGCCACCCAGGTGCCCCACAAATAGGGATCTCTTTAAAGGTACTTGTTAATAGGCAGTGCTAGCCATATGAACCGTACCAGTGTTGATCGTTTCCTCTGGGGCCTGGGAGGTTGAAGAGAAGTATGTAGTAACAACAGTGGCAGCAGCAAGTTTTATATAGAGGGTTGAACTTACTAACAACAGGAATAGACAGCATGCTAATTGTTGCCTGGAAAATAGCTCTAGATGAACAGTGATGAATTATCTCTCTGTTTCTCTCCTTCTCTCTCTCTCCCCCCATGTGGTGCCCCAGAATACTGGGTATTTTCATTTCTCTAATTAAAATCAGTGTAAAAAATGTTTAAAAATATGCCATTCTGTGCTATTCCTCGATAGCAGGAAGTTGGAACTGAAGACAAGGGGTGAAGACAAGGGGTGCCCCAGCTGGGTTATAGGAATTGTATGCGGGCATATGAATAACTGACATACTGTTTAGGTTTTGAAAGCTCCAGCAGCTGCGCTTTGTCCAGCAATAAGTAGAATCATAAGGTTCATTTATTACCATGTGTGTAAAATGGGAAAACTCACCATAAATTATAACTTCAAATTTTTAAAAAATTTTTTCCTTTTTTCTTCTTTCTTTTTTTTTCAAATTATTTTCTATCATCTATTTGTGTAATGAGGCATCACATTTATTTAATAATTTATTTACGTATTTCATCATTTGTTCCGTAATTGTTTATTGACAGCCTACTATGTACCAGACAGGATAAGGGGCTCCAGCAGTGAGCATGATAGAAAAGGTCCTGAGCTTGATAGATGAGACGGACCATGAAGAAATTCACCAGCAAACCTGCCAATGGAAGCAGTAAGCAATGGGAAAGGCATGCACTGGGATGAGAGATCCTGTGTGCCAGGGCAGGGCTGGTGGGTGTATCTTAGGCAGAAGATAACCAGTGGAAGTCTTTCTATGGAGGCAACAGCTGAGGCGAGACCTGAAACATGAGCCAGACTTTCAATGTGAAACAGGTTCCCATAGTCAGTGGTGCGTAGCGTACTCAGAACTGATGTGGTTTTGCTCTGCGTGATGCCACTTGTATGGAAAGGTGACATTCTGAGTTGACTCAGGAACCAGCCAACTAGGAAAGGCTTAGTGCACAGCCCTACAGCACACTGTCAGGTCAGGTGTTGAACCCTAACTGCTGGGTGATCCGGAGACCAGCTGGGAGCATCACTCGAAGGGCTTAGGGCCACAGCGATTTACCCACTCTGGTACCGGAAGTATTTCGTATTTAAACAGGCAGTATGGCATCTGTAATGGTTGAATATTGGTCATGCTTTTGTGTAATTTTGTGATTTAAGGAATTTTGATGATTAGCCAATTGCAGTTATACATCATTAAAAAAATTCTGTCTACTTCATAGTTTAGTAGAGAAAAGGAAAGTTAAGTTCCTGTTTTCAATGCTGGCAGTCTTGATTTTAAAACCTGGGGTCTCATTTTGAGGAGGTGGCATTATCAGACTAGATATGTTGTTTCCAAGAAGGTAACAGACCTAACTTCATGTCTTTTTTATAGGCGGCATCACTGTCCACATCTCCCTACCAAGATTTACGATAAAATAGAGAAACCATGTCTTCTCTCCGAATACACCGAGAACTACCCTCTCTATCACTCTTACCTGCCCAGAGAATCCTTCAAGCCCAAGCTGGAGTACCAGAAAGGGTCCATACCCATGGAAGGCCTGACCACATCAAGGTGAGCACAAGAAGAATAAATATATGAATGCACACAAATAATGTCCAGGGCTAATGTACAATATGAATATAATGTGCAGTCTTAGTGCATCAATGTACAGAGTCAATGTATAGTATCGAAGTCTTTGATGTTAATATACTGTATCTCGGAAAGGAAATCCTACATTTGTTAGCCTGCTCAGTTTTTCCCAACCTCTTCTTACAGAGAAAGAATTGTTACAGCTGGTCTAGGGGTGAGGAAGGCTAAAATGATCTACATAACAAAGGGTTGGAGGTTAAGTAACGTATAAAGGGATGACACAGTTGGAGGGGAGAGGGGGATGCTGCTAGAAAGTGAGTTTTGGACTTTGACACCTAAGCTCCAGGTCAGCTTGGGCCGCGTAGTGATGGTGATAGTGATGAAAGGAAACTTGATGATACAGAGGGAGCTGTCTAGGAATTATGCCTTGGACTTTGAATTGGGATCCCTTTGAATGTTCTTCAAGAATGAACAAAGACTACAGATGACCCTTAAACAACATGGCTTTGAACTGCATGGGTCCATTTACATGTGGATTTTGTTTTTTTCAATACATATAGCACTGTTAATATTTTCTCTTATGATTTTCTTCCTAACTTTTTTCTAGCTTATTTTACTGTAAGAATACAATATATATAATACATATCACATATAAAATATGTTAATTGACTGTTACTGGTAAGGCTTCTGGTTAACAGTAGGCTATTAGCAGTTTGTTTTTGGGGAGTCAAAAGTTATATGTGGATTTGTGACTGCATTGGAGGTCAGCATCCCTTACCTCTACATTGTTCAAAGGTCAGTGGTATTTCCTTTTAAATTGCTCTTGACCTCCAAACACAGATTCTTTATTTTATTTTATTTTTTTAAGAGATTTTATTTATTTATTTGACAGAGA